CATATAGAAAATTTGAAAACTGGTAAAGATTTTACAAAATTGTATTTCTGGAATCAAAACTAGTAAAATATAAGTACATAGAATATAAGGTGATATGATGTTGCATTTTAAACAACATTTACAAATCAGTACCTTTTTAATTTTCGTAAAAATTCTCCTTATAATTTTCAATGGTTTAATTAATAAGATATGACAATTTGTTTAACTCACGCTTCTTATATCTGAAAGTAGGTCTTAACTATCATCCTACTTACAACTTTTTGATCACATTAACCTAGCAATGAAGCACATGGAAATGATGAGTCAGCATGCAGGCAAATCTTAAAGATGTTTGAAACATATTGGCAAACTGCATTCCATAAAGCTTGTCCCAGCTTCTGTACTTACTTCTTCTGCTGCAAACTTTAAGACTGCTGTGAAAGGTGTACTTTCAGGAACACTGAGTCTGCAAGAAGAATTTTAAAACGGCTTCTTTTAAAAGTCAACATTTTCTTAAAAAGCCCTTTTGTTCCTTATTTCCGTGACTGTAGCCAATCTGGACAAAGCTGTCTTCTTTTCAGTTTCAAAGTTAGTGCTTTTGACTGCATACTACATTATTTAACTCAAAATAATAATAACTTTAAAAACTCCTACAGCAAATAGCCTTAGAGCTAGGATGATGACCGAGCTCTACTTGAGAATTAACCTCTACAGGTGTAGACATATATATTTTCTAACACTTTGATATACCTAAGTCTAGCATATGGACTATTGTTTGTTTCTAAAGATGGATTTCAAAGAGGGGAAGCTCTCCTTGGTCTTCAGTCCACTTTACCTCCCATCTAAATACCTAGGCACTTGATGCAGTAATATTACCATTTTCATTACAAGTAGAAGGCTACTTGGGAAGCATCACTGAATCATAAAGCTTTTGATGAACCTTCTGTGTACTCTTAATAATCATGTCCAAAATTCATAGACCAAATTGATAAAAATACATGAAGTTTATTATGGCAAAGCCAGTAATAAATTGATTTTTCCACCATCATTTAAAATGGGCTAAGTAAAATCAAATAACATTTGAAGAGGGATGTTTGACTTTGTTAACTGACTCATATAATGGCAGGTATTTTAAAGATCACCAATACATAGATTTTTTTTTTTTTTCTTAATGACTTAGTTCCAGGGTCAATCTGTATTAATTTTCCAATTAAAAAAAATCAAGAAACTTACTTTTTACCTTAAGAAAATACTTAAAGACACAGTAAGAGGTTTTTAATTTTTTAAAAAATAATGATTCCTAAGGTAAAATAAATTACAATCAGTAAAAACAGAAAACAATCTTTCAAAGCAGAGGAGACTGACAAGCTACCATTTCTCACTGAAACGTCTCTATTTGTCACCATAGTATATTGGATTATTCTTAAGTGTCTTAATACTAGCTACCATTATTCTTAAGTGTATGCCCAGGCTCCTCACTCAGTCTACAGATCTCTGAATGTAACAATCATTATATCAGGAATGGCATACGGCAGCAGTTTTCAGTAACAGAAATGTGAATAGATTTCTTGGCTGCCCTCATTCCACAATTCCAAAATACTATTAAAGCATGAAAATGGGTATCATTTTTACCCTTTCTTTACTAATGTTTTTTGGAGATGCAGAAAATAAAAACATCCTAAAGGATAGCCATTTGTTTAAAAACTAATGGACTGGCAATGTGACAGTTTACAAAGCAGACAATGTGACAGTTTACAAACTTTGTAAATTAATTTACAAAGTTCACAAAGTATTTCTGCAGTATATATGTAGTTTAGAATCTGAGATTCATTTTCCTAGAACTCTACATCAATCAGAGAACATCTAAACTCTTAGAAATCCATTCATTTTTAAACTGGAGACTTGGAAATACCCTTACAATATAACTAGATGTCATATTGATGCTCATTAAAATAAGTTTCTATCTGTATATTAAGTTGGTGAGTATCCACAGAAAAGCCAATGGAATAAATAACAAATGAAACCATCTTTTAATGCAAGTTCTAATTGGCAGAAAATTAGAGAAAATGAGAGTTACAGTGACTCCACAGATCTTCTCTAAAGTTCTATTTGCTATGCCAATCAATGACAGACTGGATAAAGAAAATGTGGCACATAGACACCAGGGAATACTATGCAGCCATAAAAAAGGGATGAGCTCATATTCTTTGCAGGGACATGAATGAAGCTTTAAACCATCATTCTCAGCAAATGAACACAAGAACAGAAAATCAAACACCGAATGTTCTCATTCATAAGCAGGAGTTGAACAATGAAAACACATGGACACAGGGAGGGGACATCACACCCTGGGGCTTGCCGTGGGTGGGGACCTAGGGGAGGGATAGCATTAGGAGAAATACCTAATGTACATGATGGGTTGATGGGTGCAGCAAACCACCATGGCACATGTATACGTATGTAACAAACTTGCACATTCTGCACAAGTATCCCAGAACTTAAAGTATTTTTTTTAAAAAAAAAAGTAGTTTCTAGGTGGGCCCAGTGATTCACACCTGTAATCCCAGAACTTTGAGAGGCTGAGACAGGAGGATCACTTGAGCCCATGAGTTCAAGACAGGCCTGGGCAACATAGGGAGACCCCATCACTATAAAAAAAAAAAAAAAAAAAAATATTAGCCAGGTCTAGTGGTGCACAACTGTGGTCCCAGCTATTCAGAAGTCTGAGGTGGGAAAATAAATAAATAAATATAGTTGTATTTACCAGTCATTTCATAAAATTGGTACTTAAATTATCATAGTTTTGAATAAATTTACATTAACGAGAATTTTTTAATTACTGGCATCATTTGTTCTTTTAATATCTCATATAAACAAAATAGTAACATAAATTGACAAGAAATTATCTTACAGACTAAGTCCACAGGTAGCTAAAGAAGGGTGAGATTAACTCTGTGGACAATTACAAAGATCTTCATAGAGGTGAGATTTTTATTATAAAATATGTTGTGGTCATGAGACTGCATTCTAAGCACAGAAAAGAACAAGTGTAAAGGAAAGATTAAAAGAGCTAGCTTGTCAACTTGAGAATGGGGAGGCTGAAGATTTATGTATATGATTGTGGTACTAAGGACTGGAAGAGAAGAAAATGTGCCAAATAAGACAGGAAAGATTTGAAATAGACTGAAAAAGCAAAAGCTGTGTTTTTAATTCATCCCATGTATAGAAGAATGTTTAACTTCAATAAAAATTCTGCAACCTAATGTCAATACCAATAGTGCTTCTGTTAACAAACAAAAATCAAAACCAAAAGTAAAAACTGGCTTTTCTAGAATTCTACTATTAGGTGCTGCTTAACTTGGGGGAAGTTTCTCTATCCAAGTATGTTTACCTGCTTGACAGGCAAAAAGTGCTATTAAAAAGCTAAAATATGTTTTCCCACAAATCTGAGTTGTTTCTGTTAGTGCCCAAGTAATAGTTACCATTTACGTTGAAAAGAAAATATAGCACAGATACCCTTGTACACATTTACATGTTATGTGTATTTTACACACACATTCTTATATACATATACAACTACACACACTCATTCATACATACTCAACAACAGTTGTACCTACTAAATTCATTCAGTCACCACATATTAACTGAATTAATGTTCCAGGCTCTTAATGATACTGTCCTGCTCCATCCTCTTTCCTTCTCACGATCTCTTTCTAGAGTATATTTGCATACTGATGAGAATAATTCAGTATAGAGGGAGAAACCAATAATGAGGAGAGAGGGGGCCACTGGACTCCATCTACTTTAATCTTGACTGAAATAGATGGGAACCAGAGCTCAAGTGTTTTTTCATAGGAGTGAAGTCTTTTTTTCCATTCTAACAGGATGGGAGACTGAAATTAATGGATTTATCGATGTAGTAATAGGTTTATATTGGTGGAAAGATGACAGAATTTCCCTCTAATGGCTTGAGAGCAAGGGAGAGGGAGGACGGGGAGAGTTTGAAATTTTTAAACAATTCTTTCTGAGAATAAGAAGGAAAATGAGCAAACCTGAAGAATGTAGTAAAGTGCTAGTCACTATTGTTATAGTCATGAATTTAATGTAAAACCCACCAGTCTGTTATTTTCTCCAGGGACATTCAGCCATGTACAGGGAACACAAATAGCTGGTTTACAGAGTTAGTGTTTCACTAACCAAAATATGCTGGGAGGAGGGACAGGGCCACCAGAGTTGAGGATGCTTGCATGAGAATGATTTAAAGATAAACTAATGGACTCTTAAGGAGCAAGGTAAGGAATAGGAGTGGGAATAGCTATAGATTAAAAATCACTGTGATTAACGGACTAAATGAAAGGCTGTAGAAGAGAAATTACAGTAAATCAGGTAGGAGAGACTGTAGTTATCCATAACAGTGCCTGTAAACGACATTTTAGAGACAGAGCAATTAGAGACGGAAAATTTAGAGACGGAACCTGGAATCTTAAGATTCTAGGCTGCAACCATGAACACCTGAGATAAAGTGTAAAGTGTAAAAAGGGTATTTTGGAGATGAAATAATCAAGGGAGCAATAGGCTGAGAGGTAGGGATCATGGGTTGGCGAATCACTGAAATTTATCACTTCGGCTACATAGGACACAGTACTAAGTGTATTATTTATGCAAAAAATCCTATTGTAATTATGTTCTTTTCCACATTTCATGCTACTTCCAACTGCAATAACCTCAAGAGTGTGTACTTAAAATCTATCATTCAACTGCGAAGGATAAGTAAAGGCCCCACATGGATAAACTATCCCCTACTTATGCATTTTCTCATTCTTACTAAATACTCTATTAAATCTCAACATAGGAAGGGTGTGATCTGAGTCTCATTCCTTTGTGATGCCCGATTATTGAGTCACTCATACACACAAAACTCACAAGCCGCAGAATAACAAACGTTCAAGTAATTTCAAAGTTTGACTATCAGGATGGAATGTTTTCCCTAACTTCCTCAAACAGCTGCTTAAAGCGGTGAAACGTTTTTCTAATCTCCAGGAGATTGGGTCTGTTTAAGAATCCCAGCAAATTACCAGAACCTGGCCCACCTGTCCTCCCGCTCCACCTGACCACCAAATGAATTCCGAGGGGAGGTCACTAATAAGAAACACACCCACACCCTCGTGCCGGGGCCAGGCTGCCAAGCTGACACTTAGCGAGCAAGTACGGACCTCTCCTCACAGGCTCCAGCGGGAGAGGCTCCTGGAAGGGCGCGAGCCAGGAAGGCAGAGAAAACGAAGAGATGAAGACTGCATGGGGTAGTTGTTGAAAAGGCTTGGATCACCCCCAGCCCCGTCTTGTTCGGCCCCAAAAGGCCCATCCCTGCTGAGCTACTCACACTTTGTACGGCAGCCGCGGATCCGACGTCAGCGTGATCTTAAAAGAAACCTTCGACCTGAGGAAAAGAGTGGAAGAGAGTCAGGGTTGGACAACAGGACCAGGGATGAAGGCGGTCGGTAAGCAAACACTTACATGGTGGTGTCGGGATGAATCTAGAACACAAGCCAACCCCGCGGGGTAGCACGACTTCCTCCACTGTGCCGGGGACTGCCCGGCGCCACTCACATCCACGTCTCCCTAGACAAACTGGGGACCTCCGAAATTGTTGCTAGCCAACGCACTGCCTGAATATCGGCCCCAAGAGTTCATGCTACATCGCGCTATTAAATCACAAATATCTTATGCTTTTGCGTATAAATAGCTAAGAAAAAAGCGTGGATTATGTGTATAAAATATATTTTTAACTTTGCTTATTTGCTACAATATTTTTAGTCAGGCAGAATAATCGTGGGCATAGACAGTAGGACCCCAGGTCCCAGCTGGTAGGTTGGGGCGGAAGTAAGGGTATAGGGTAGGCAGCTGAAGAGCGAGACGGACTTGGGGCGAGGCTGCGGGCGGGTTTGGGAGCGGAGATGGGGCGGGGCTTGGCCAGACGCGCTCCAAAGTTGCTAAGGCAACCTGAGCTCAGGAAAGCTTAATTGGTGTTCCAGAAGCAGGAATTGTAACACTGCTTTATCATTAGTTTTCTTCTGTCTTTCCAGCAAACCAATCCTGTTGTATCCCTTACATTTCTCATAGTTTCACCTTCACGCTTTACTTTCTGATACTGATTTATAACTAGTTAATTTCAATAAGTAAGAGTGCTATCAAGAGCGAATTCTCTGTGCCAAGACTCCCACTGGGGTTGGTGAGAAAAAAACGAGGTTTTTGCATTTCAGGAGCGTGGCGTGTAGTTGGGAAGACTCATCTATTAACAGATCTCAATAATTTGTTATGTGGCCTAATAGAATTAAACCAGTGCGCTAAGTTGCTAATCATTAACCACGTTTGTTCAGTTTAAACAACTTTGAACCCTTTCTATGTGCCAGGCACTAACCCAAACTCTGGGGAATCCAAGATGAGTAAGGCAGATAGGTGTCAGCTCTCTAGGATCTAACAGTCAGAAGTTCCTGTATAGTGATGACGGAAGAAAATTGTCCTCTAAACTTTATTACAAATCTAAACCTCTGTGTTTGAAGAATATGCATCTCTCTCGCAATGACTGAAATGCCCTTTTAAAATATTGGCATAAATAGACAAAGGAGGAAGCAGGTAGGCATTAAAATAATGGGGCAATCTAGTTGATCTTTAGAATATATGTCAGATAAGTCTTAAGGAGAGAAATTTAAGAGAGGAACCAGGAAGGAACTGTAGTGGGGATAATGGAGACCAAATTCATCTTTGCTATAGTTTTGGGGCCAACTGATCTTCTATGGTGACATTTCCCAATGGAGAGAGTTCTGGTTCTGACTGTAGGAAAGTAAGACTCCAACATTCTCATGACAGTCATCCTCACTTTTTAAAATGCTGGTCTTATCATATATGTAGATGAAGACAAATATTGATTGACTGATTTAGGGATCAATAGTTACAGCCTTAATAGCTGAAACTATTCAATTAGTGGATGTGACTAAAACTTGTGAATATGGTAATAAGGATAAAACTGTGATTGTGTCTACCCCTTGTCAGCTAGCCAAATAATAATCATAGAGATTAGTGTACATATTTACAGTCTATATATGTAAGACTTCATATATATTTTGAAACAAAATTTGCATCCTGCTATTTATAGTTTGGTGTCTGCTTATGTATCAAAACATGGCAAAATCCTAAAAAGAAAAATGTATTTTGATCAGAGAGCTTTTATTGTATGTATAAAAAGTGGTGAAAACAGAATTCAGCCCCAGGCAGTGTGACTTTGGTACTCAGATTCTGTTGCTTCAGAAAATACATTTGTATAATATATCAAAATGACATCTCTTGAGATATTAAAAAGTAGCTGTTTCTAAATGTTTAGAATTATTTTTCACCTCAATTCCCCAACTCTGCTTCTCATATGTTTGTCTCCTCAGAGTCACAGCATGATTTGTAGAGCCCCCTGCGTTATATTTTGCTTAGGATAAGAAAGAAATTATAAATGGATTTATTTATACTCAATATTTTGGTTTTTTTAAAACATTGTGAAGGGATTTGCAATTGGAAAATTTTATAGCAAAACAAGGACCTTCTCATTTACTGAAAAGTTAAAATGTTAAAGTACATTTAATGACTGTAATCAGAAGCAAACTCCGAAGCAAATTTTTGGACATCATTGGCAAATGTAACATTTTAAGACGACAAATATCCTAAATGGCCTAATGTATTTTGGAAAAGATCCAATTAGTATCACGTAGAGGCAGAAATGATTGTAGAGGTGCACAGTGTGACCATATTAGAACTCATTAAATGTCAATGAAGCGTACCAATATTCTATTTGCAAATGCATATAAATTTTCCATTATTAGAAGAAAGCCAGAAGGAAATTAAATTTACATAAGGGCTAAAAAGATTTGCTTCCATAGTCATAGAAATTTTTCTGATTAGTTATTTCTATAGCCAACTTTATTTTTTGTATTCCTCTGGATGCCAAAAAAAAAAAGTCTTTCATTTTCATACTAATTTGATTGTATTTATGATTATGACTGAAACCATCTGATAGTCAAATTATATAATCTTGAAACAACTGTACCTGAATAAGCCTTAAGATATTCTATTCCAAATACTTCATATTACAGGGAACAAATTGTAGACTAATCAACTAGTAATAAACAGATATTTTAATAGTAAATTTTTTCATTTTTTATTGCCTTTTCTCCCCTTAAAATTCACTAAAAGGCATGATATAATTGAAGCAATGATAATAATAATGACTCAAAATTTGTTAAGATTTATTTTGTGCTAGTATTAACTGCTTTGTACAAATCAAATGATAAAATATAGACTTTAAACTTTGATGCCTTGGCTATAAGTTATAGTGACAATAAGCCTTATGCAAAGAGAAGAGAGTTGATTTGGTTGCAGAACTACTTGGAATATGTAAATCCTGTGTTATTTTCAAGGTAAGGACTAGAAGGTTAGAGAATGTTTACATTCCTATGAGTCAAAAAGAACAATGAAATAAGTTGAGATTGAAGCCTAACAAGTCCAGGCAAGCCCTGACAGAGGACTGTAGCTCTAAATGTGCTACATTTGATTGTTATGGTTACATATTTTCCTCAAATATTTCCAAAATTCAATGAAAAAAAGAAATGAACTTTCTACGAAGCTCATTGACTATAATGCTTCTAAGTTTGAGGCTTAATCACAAAACTTGGAATATTTTAACCACAGAATTCGTAAAATACATTTATTTCAAAATGGCATTCTGAACTGTAAAAAAAAACAGGAACTTAACAGTCTTGTATAATTAAATTTTCTCTCCAAACATTGTGTGAATTCTTCGTTTAATGGAAACATTACTTTTAGAAAAACTAAAGTAGCCTTTGACAAATCCATTGCAAACACGAATTTTTTCCCCACATTTACATATTTTTATCTTTCTACCAGCCAAATGAGGCAAATATTAATATTCTATCTTTACTTTTCTCTATTAACTCAAGGTTTTCTTAGTCCAGTTGAGATTTTTAGATCCATTCATAGTTTCTCCCCACATAACTCTTCTTGCAGTTGTATGTAGAACACAGGCTTCAGAGGGCTGTGACAGCTGGTCCTTTGTCATCACCTGTCCATATTCTCAGTAATATTGTATCCACTTAAGACATCTGAGACACATGTCATCTCACTTTTGTCTGGTGATATCAGTCCTTTTTGTGGGCTGGCAAGACGACTTTAGGACTTTTGGTTGTCTCTAAGGGATGTAAGAAAAGTGCCCTCTTGTATCATTCTGTGGCTACAGGGAACCAGCAGGGCTCAGACATCTTTGACTAATCATAATGTGCTTTTCTCCCAAAATGGAAGGAAACTTGTTGCCTTCCTGGGCTCCAGTGGGAGCAAGAACTAGACCGGGCGTGGTGGTTCACGCCTGTAATCCAAGCACTTTGGAGGCCAAGACGGGCGGATCACCTGAGGTCGGGAGTTCAGGACCAGCCTGACCAACATGGTGAAACCCCATCTTTATTTAAAAAAAAAAAAAAAAAAAAAAAGAACTAGACATATTTTCTCTGATTCTGAAATTCTCTAGAGGTTGTTTCCCCTAGGGATGATCTTTCAGGGGCCATCTTTCAGGGAGACCTTAGAATGTCTATCGTTTTCTTCTCTTCCTTTCTCCAGCCCAGAGTATTTTTTTTAAATAGACTTTATTTTTTTAGAGCAGTTTTGGGTTCACAGCAAAACTGAGCAGATTAAGATACTCCCTCCCCCTATGTATTCATAGTCTCTGACATTTTCAACATCCCCCAGCAGAGTGGTACATTTATTACAGTTGATGAACCCACATTGACACATCATTATCACCCATTGGCCATAGTTCACATTAGGGTTAACTCTTGGTGTTGTATATTCTATGGGTTTAGACAAATGTACATTGATACGTATCTACCATTACAGTATCATACAGAGTAATTCACTGCCCTAAAAATTCTCTGTACTGCTCCTGTTCACTCTCCCTCCTGCTTAGCCCCTGACAACTCTGATCTTTTTACTGTCTCTAGTTTTGCCTTTTCCAGAATGTTGTAGAATCATAAACTATGTAGTCTTTTCAGATTGGTGTCTTTAAGCACCTGCGTGTTTTTTCATGGCTTGATGGCTTATTTATGTTCAGTTCTGAATAATAGTCAACTGTCTAAATGAACCACAGTGTATTGACCCATTTACCGACTAAGGGATATCTTTGCTACTTCCAAGTTTAGGCAATTATGAACAAAGCTACCAGAGGGAAGTTAGCCTATCTTTATTGGTAAGATGGGTTCAGGGATGTTCACATACTCTATAAGGTATAATTTAAAGCTATATGCAGTCAGGTTTTTTCCATTAGCTTTTGCTATATTCTTCATTGACATGGGAAGAATAAAACATCCCTAAAGGTGATTTGTAAATGAGCTTTGGCAAAGATAGTTCTCATTTCAGAACTGTCCTGTAATTAATCCCCTGAAGAATGGCA